GGGAACAGGAGCGTGCACCAGGGAATTCAAGACTTCTGAGAGATGGACGTGGGTAAAAGCGAGTGAGCTTGTTCATCCATTTATTCAACAAATGCTCTCTGAGCTGGAGTTACCTGCCAAGCACTGTTCCAGGTTTGGAGGCCTCTGTTGTGACAAGACAGAATCCCTGCCCTCTTGGAGTGGATGTTGTGGGGAGTAAAGATGTGAAAAAGATATTAAATAATAGTAATAAATACTGTGAAGAAAATAAACAGATCGATGGAGCAGAGTGTCCAGTCAGGGGGGCCCTTTCAAAAAATGGGCAGGAAAGGCCACTCTGCACAACTTAGGTGACACTGCAGCTGAAGCCTGCGTGATGAGGAGCCAGTCAAGGGACAATCTGTGGGACAAGTGCAAAGGCCCTGGGGCTGGAATGAACTTGGCATTTCAAGGAGTAGATAGATCAGTGTGGCTGGAAAGAGGAGATGTGGCCAATTTGTGCCTTGCTCTGAGGATCACAGAGGAGCCTGGATTTTATCCTGTGTGTAATGAGAAGCCACAGGAGGGTTTTAAGCAGGGGACTGGTTTCATCTGAGTTCTGAGAATGTCCTAGCTCTGCACGGCCTGCAGTTTTCTAGAACAAATAAGAACAAGTCAATCTTGTTTTCTTGGGGATGAGGTGGGGGAGACCCCGGACCAGGGACTTCTAACTATGTGGCAAATCTCGATGGCAACCAGGTGTCTGATAAAGGCTCTCCGGGAGGAATGGAGATGAGATGACAGGGACTGGGTTGATTTATTCCAAGTGTTGATCCAGGATTACTGTCAGGCTAGGGGGAGGGTCTCCAGCAGTGTCCCCAAAGCTCTGCCCCGGACTGTCTCCCATTCAACATTTCTATTCATAAATTGGTGGAAGACTCAGAAGGTGTGCTCATCAGACATGCAGCTGACGCGGAGCTGTCAGGGACAGCTAATGCCACGGATGACAGGCTCGAGATTCACTGTGATGGTCCTCCACAGGCTGGAGTGACGGGATGAGACCACAATATCCCCGACTGCATTCAGGTTGGGGAGCAAAACCCAGCTGGGGCTGGGGGCGGGGAGACCTTGCTGGATAACTATCTCCTGAAAAGAAGCCCAGGTGGGGGCGGGGAGGGATCAGTGGAGGGCAGCTGGACCCAGCCGTGTCCCCACACCAGCCTCTTCCGTTTCTCGGTGACAAGGTCCTTAGTCTTTCAGGGTCACTCTTCCCGTCTGCAAAGCGGGGCTGATCCTGTCTATTGCCTGGGGGTGGAGAGGTTGAAATGTGAGCACATATATGGGAGCCCGGCCTCCTGTCTGGCCTGTAGTGTGCTCGTGACAAGCACAAGGGAAATAGGAGTTGTAGGGACTGGGCGGGGAGGGCTGGATGCCCTCGGCCAGCTCACAGCCAGAGTGGGGCCCTCCATTCTTGGCACAGCATGGCCCCTTCTGGGAATGTCAGCTCTCCAAGAGCCCCGTTGGCCCCTGTGGTGCATCCAGAGGAGAATGACCTGGAGGGGTCGGATCCGGAAGCCATGTCCCCTGAGAGCCATTGTGAGTTCGGAGTGGAGAGGAGGCAGTTGTGACCGGGAGGGACACGAGTGTTTTCTCAAACGCCACAAGGGCTGCAGTGTGGGAACAGGGAAGGTGTGGTCTTCGCTGCTCCAGATGCCAGAGGAGAAGCTGTGCAGAGGCCTATGTGGGTGCACCCTCAGATCTGACCACTGATAATAACATTATAATGCGTCGCCGACATTTCTGGAGGCTCATTATGCACGAGGCTGGCACTAAGTGTTTTGCACAACTTGTAGAACGTTCGCAGTCTAACCCTGAGAGGTGGTGATATCCCCACGTGGCAGATGAGGAGCACAAGCTTCCGATGGGCAGAGCAGGGGCTCACACCCAGCCTGGCTAGGGGGGTCAGGGGTGTCCTCTCAGGTGCTGAGAGGGAACCACTGTGGGATGGTTTTTGGTACAGGGACCTCAGGGCCCTGTGGGTCTTTTAGAACTGTGATCCCCAACACCCGGGCCGAGGCCCAGTACCAACGTCAACCCTCTCAGCCCTCCCCCCGCACCCCCACGAGTGAGCAAGCAAAGCTTCATTTGCAGCTGCTCCTGTCCCTCCCCGCCTGAGCTCCGACCCCAGCCCCCACCACCGCTGTGGAAAAATTGTCTTCCATGAAACCAGTCCCTGATGCCAAAAAGGTTGGGGACCGCTGTTTTAGAAGCTACTTTGACTTCCCCTTGGAGTTGGCACTTTAAAGGATTGAGTGGTGAGTTGTGTGTGTGTGTAACATTTTTATTTTAAAAAATAGAAAGCAAATACAGACACAAGTAGCGTGACAGGTGTGTCCATGTCCTGGCTTTAGCAGTGATCAACATGTGGCCAGTCTCATTTCATCTATTACGTCCTCTCCTTTCTCCTCCCTCCCCCTGCTGGATTAATTTTAAAGACAATCCCAGACACTATTTTATCTGTAAATACTTTCGTATGTATCTCTGAGCGATAAGACCTCTTTTTGTTGTTGTTGGAGTATAACCGCAATGCCATTATCACAATTTTTTAAAAAAATTAACATAAGTGTAGCAAGTCTTTCTAATTCAGAAGAGCTGTTGGTATATAACTTGCTTTGCAAGGTACTGGGCCAGTGGGAGGGGAGGCAAAAAGTAATCCTTCTAATGTCTGAGTCCTGAGACTTGAGACGCACCTGTTCCCTTTGAGGAAGAATGGAGAGGAAGAAGAGGAGGGAGATCTAAAACTTGGGACCATGGATTGGCAACCCCTTTATCAGCTTGTTCCCAGTGGGCACAGCCCTGAGCGTGCAGCCTATTTATAGGCCTAAGTCTAGACACAGGAAGGAGGCAAAGGAAGGGAGTAGATGAGAGGGCGGGAAGAGGGAGAGGAGAAAGAGTGGAGGGAAAGAGAAAATGGAATCGGAACTGGCCTTGCTGCACGCGGCCCCGATGGCCCTCGAGGAGCTGGCCAGGACCCACCCAAGCTAGCTAATGCTCACATCCGACATTCGCCGAGTGTATCCCACGCACGGGCGCCATGCTGGGCACAGGTTACTACTCCAATTCTCCCAACCCTCCCATGAGGCAGGTGCTGTCAGTTGTCGTACCCGCTTTACAGGGGAGGACTCTGGGCTTCTAGGGTCTGACATGGAATGAGCAGCGGTGCCTGGATTCAAACCCAGGCCTGTTTGGCTGGAGTCTGTGTTTTCCTGGCATCGCTCCCTGCCTCCAAGCCTGAGGAGGTGACATGCAGGGCTGACGTTCAGGGGTGCAGTTGTCTTGGTTGTTGGAATATTGACACGTTCCCGTATCTTTAGTATAGAGCTCTTCCCTCAAGCTCCCCAAGCTCCCTGCCCCCAGCCTCTACCCCAGGACCCTTGGGCCTCTTCAAGACCCAGTCACTAACGGGTTTATGCCCAGCACGGCAGGAAGCCTGGAGGACTAGAGCCTGTCCTACAGCGGCTACTTGCCTGGTTCTGTGTATGGTGGCACGTGAGTCGCGTGACTGACTATTTCTGTTCACATGTGTATGCATCAAACACACGTGTGTATACATGTCCATGTGCACGTGTGTGTGTGTGTATGCTCATGCACAAAGAGCATCACCAGGAAGGCCTGGTCCCGCTGGGAGCCCTCCGTGGCTGCTGTTCTCAGGACTCGTTGCACCCTGTGAGTGCGTAGTCAGAGCTGGAACATCGGGGCCTCCCTGACTACAAAGCCTGAGTCGCAGCCACTGAGCTCCTCTCTCATGTTTCCCTCTGCCTTTTCATCATCTTCTCCTGCTGTGCTCCCTGAGGTAGCGTGCTGAGAGGTTTCCAGAATGCTCGGTGCAGGCCACCTCATCCATCCCTCCTCGCAGAAGCCCCTTGAGTAGGGGTTGAAGATGGTTCTGAGGTGATGGCCCTGGGCCTCCTGGGAGCACCAGGGAGGAAGGTGCCCCTTGCCAAGGCTACTGTGGCAGGTGGGGTCACCCGCTCACACGCCTGGAGAGAGCCAGTAACCAGAACAGAGAGTCCAGGTGACTGCCAGGTGCCATCAGGCAGGTGCCAGCCAGGAAAGGTCCAGCTGTGGGGCCAGGGTCTGAGGCAGGTAGAGGCCAGTATTCAAGTATGGGGGAACCCTTGGGGGTCAGTGCAGGGACCAACCCACAAAGTGAAGCCCAGTCCAGAGGCCATCATCTGGTTAGAGGCCATGCCAGCCAGGGTGGACATGGGTACCCCTGGGGCCACAGTGCAGAATCCAGGGTCCAGGGGCGCAGCCAGGTCTACGTGTGTCCTGGAGACATAATGACTGACCCTCGAATAGCCCTTACCCTCTGCCAGATGCTGTTTGAACAGCTTTGCACCTCCATGATAACTCCTCTTAATCAGATGAGGAGGCCAGGGTACGGAGACACTGAGCAACCCGCCCAGGGTCACACAGATGGGAAGTGCCTGAATCAGGTTATGAGCTTGGGCTGTCCGCTCCATCATTATACAACGAGGGGATGAAGGCTGCACTGAGCTCCTGGGGGCTTCCCAGAGCTCAGCCCCAGCACTCTGGATTCTGTGCTTAGAGCTGTCGGCTCACTGCAGACCCCTTTGCTGCTGGGCAGAATACCCATCGAGCTACCTCTCTGGTCTGTTACTGCGTCAGGTCCTAAGCGTGATGAATGGGAAGGATGGACTAAAATTAAGGCTCAGGGAGGCTGTGACTTGCCCCAGCTTACTTAGCAAGGTTGTTGGAAGAGGACTCAGGTATTCCCAGGTATTCCCATTCCCGGAACCGTGCTCTCGGTCCTGCACCCACCGGTGTGGTGTAGAGCTCTCTTGGGAGTCCACTGTGCCTCCATTTTCTCTCTTGAGAAAGCAATGAGTTCCTTTGCTGGAAATGTGTTTTTGTCATGTTACATATCCATCTCCTTTCCCTGGGGCCTGTGTCCTGCTGCAGAGCCACCCCTCGCCAAGCTGGCACTAACACCGTCTGTCTCTCCCACCTGTTCACAGGGCCCTGGAGCTCCGCAGTGGCAAAGATGAGATCTCCCTGCTAGTAGAGCAGGAGTTCCTGAGCCTCACCAAAGAGCACCTCATCCTGGTCAAAGAGAGCTCAGGGGAGCTGGAGGTGCCTATTGGCCGCTCTCCTGAAGGGACCAAAAAGCTGGCTCCCTGCATTCTTGCACCTTCCCTGGTGACCGGCAGTAGTGAGCGCCCCAGAGCCTCCTTCAGTGCTGGCGACAAGCTTCTGGAGCAGAAGGTGGCCATGCCTGTTATCGGCAGCCGGCAGGACTGCGATTCTGCCATGTCTACAGTCACAGGGATCCTGCGTGCTGCCAAGGTCAAGAGGGCCAAGGGGACAGAGGACAGGGGCCACAGCCTGAGTGCCTCCAACTTGGAGATCAGCAAGCTCCTGGCCCAGTTCCCGCTGAAGTCCACGGAAGCGTCTAAGGCCCCTGACAACAAGATGGTGCTGGAGGAGACAAAAGCCATCAAGGACTTCCTGCAGAATAGCATGTTCAGTGGCCCTGGGCCCAAGGAGCCCACAGGGCTGGGCCCCTTCCTACTGCCGCCGCCCCTGCCGCCTCCTGCAGCCCCTGACAAGCTCCCTGAGCTCTCTGCTCAGAAGAGGCAACTCCCCGTGTTTGCCAAGATCTGCTCCAAGCCTGAAGCTGACCCTGCCGTGGAGGGGCACAACTTGACGGGTGAGTGGGGCTGGAACGGGGCTAGAGAGCTGGCCTGCTCAGAGGAGGTCCTTCCCGGGGAGCCAATCAGGGCCACAGGACGCACATAAAGCATCTTTGTGCAAAGCAGAACAAAGCAGCCTCTCTGGTGGGCACGGCCCCCAGGTGCAGGCTGTTCTCAGCCCCCACAGGCCTCCTTTGCTGGATGCCCCTGTGCAGGGCACAGCTTGGGTAAGCAAACCCAGAGCCCCTGGTCCCAACATGCTTGGAGAGAGAGGCAGGAACCACGCAGTCACTGGCTCAATTTTTGAATCTGCCAGGTATTCAGAGTACATTGAAAAAAGTGTTTACTCCAGCTGGGTCCAGGGTGACACTGCAGCACAAGAACTCTAAGCCGGATAGGAGAGAAGTTTGATTGGCAGCTAGGGTCATTTGTGTCTAATGGAGGCATCTCTTCTGGCCATGAGGGCTGGCCCTCTCTCTGGGGCAGGGGATGGATGTGCAAATTATTCAGGACGAGTTCACAGTGCTGGCCCCGGGATTTGTGCCCTGGGGCTCTAGGGACTTAGAAAAGGGCATTCCTATTCCTTAATTGAGGAATCCTCACTCTTCCCAGGAAATCCAGCCACCTCCCAAGTTTCTTCCACCTTAACCCCAGGATCCTGCCTTTTGTTCTGATCTAGCCGCTGAGACCCAGTGGCTCTGAGCAGACAGACTGATGGCAGTGGCTGTTGCCTACAGTCGGCAGTCACGAGGAGAGTAGATCATACTCGTGTCAGCCAAAAGAAAAATGACCGCCAGGCCATGAGCATGGATGGAGAACTAGAGACACCTGTATCGGCAGGGCCCAAGTCCATCTCCCTGAGAAAATAGGAACAACGTTGCCCTAGGGAACATTCTGTGTCCCTGAGCACTGTGGGAAGGCCCAGGGATCAGAGGTGTGGACAGCAAGCTTGACTCTGGGTTCTTGGAAGGCCTCCAGGAGCCAAAGGGACTTTGGGACAAGATGCTGCTGGTGTGAGAGGTTTAGGGGACCTTCCTCCCCGCCTTCTCCAGGAGGGACACATGGATGCGCCCCTGTCGGTTCAGGCTGCTGGTTTGGAAGTGGTCCTATCCCTCCCACCCTCCCCATCGTTGGTGTGTGTCCGTGTGTACAGATGTGCGGGAAAAGATGTGCTGAAGGGAGCTTTGCAGATGTGAGTGTATTTGCTAGGAGTGGTACATCTGAGCATGCGCATGTGTCCGTCCTATGCATAGCTGTGTGCATGTGAGTGAGTCAGAGGAATGACAGGAAGGAAAGTGTGTGTCTGTGTACCTGCACAAAGAGGGAGCTTTGTAGATGTTTCGGGCAAATATAGGTGTGAGCGAGAGGCTGGAGGTGCACAGGTCACTGGGGAAAGGACTATTATTAGTGGACGCTGTTATTTCAGCACACTGGCTGGGGGCTAAACGCGGCAACTAGAGAAACTGTTGGAAGAGACTCTAGAGATATGATCTCCTAAAAATATTATTTTCTCCTAAATTGGCTCAGGCTAGAGCAGCTCTTTCCTGTGCTGGGACAGCACTATGGGGACAGGGCCAGTCCCATGCAGATTCAGCTCCCAAGCCCCTGGGCTGGGGGGGTCCCAAGAGCTGGTGGGAACAGGTCCACTCCCAACAGGTAACACAAGGGCACAGGTCCTCTGATCCGGCTGCTACCAGAGAGATCCCAGGTGCCTGCCCTGTGTCCAGTACTGTGCACAGACATCAGACAGGTAGCCATGTTTCCCATGGAGACCTTCAAAGACCTCCAGGCTGAGGCAGGAGCGACTCGGGCTGGGAGGGCAAGGCTCTCTTCGCTGCTTCAACCAGAGAGCAATGCCTCCAAAAAAACACAAACCAAACAGCTAGGCCAGGAGCAGTGGCTCACACCTGTAATCCCATCACTTTGGGAGGCTGAGATGGGAGGATTGCTTGAGGCCAGGAGATCGAGACCAGCCTGGGCAGCATAGTGAGACCCTGTCTCTACAATAAATTAGCTGGATGTGGTGGTGCATGCCTGTTGGGAGGCTGAGGTAGGAAGACCGCTCGGGCCCAGGAGTTTGAGGCTGCAGTGAGCTATTATAACACCACTGCACTCCAGCCTGGGCCACAGAATGAGACCCTGTCTTAAAAAAAACCAAAAAACAAATAACCAAACCAAACAACTATATATAATTTCCCCTCCATACTTAGTTTTGTTTGAAGAAAGTTGCATTGCTGAAGAACAAATGTGAGTGCAGACCACTGCTGCGGAGGACCCCATGATGGTCCAGACAGTGCCCTTGCATGGGGGGATGAATGCTCAGTGCCTTTGGAGAGAGACCTGGGTCTGGTGCCAATCCCATCCCTGCTCCACACTCCAGCCATGTCCAGGGTCCCTTTGGTGCTTCCAGGCCTTTGCCCACAGCTACCCGGACTTGTTGAGCCTTCTTCCACTACACTCCAGGATGTAGGGTCTTGCTGAGACCCTACCTCCTTCTGGGAAGGAAGGGCCCTCTCAGATAGAAGTGGTCTTAGCCACTTTCTTCTTCCATGTTGTCCCTCTGTCAGCTCTTAGTGCCCATCTGCCTTGTCCTGGCACTATTTCTGGGCACGTCTCTCTCTCCTTTGTTGTGAGCTCCTGCAGGGCAGAGTCTGGCACTGACTCACAACTGTGTCCCCAGCACTCAGGTCAGGGCCTGGCACAGGCGAGTGAGCTGAATCACCTGTGAGCAACAAAACAGAAGTAGAGTCCCTGATGAGGGACCGCAGTGCGTGAACCGTGTGTCCTGTAGGAGCCATGTGCTCACTGAAGGCAAGAACTGTGCCCAAGTCATCCTTGTATCCCCAGCCTGGCACTGTGGATGGTTGGAAGGAAGGAAGGGGGGAAGGAAGAAGGAATGGTTGGATGGAAGGAAGGAAGGAAGGAAGTCAAAGAGATGGACAGATGGATGGGTAGATGGATGGATGCATGAGCTGGGCAGATCAGAATGCGCAGCAGTCAGCGAAGGCTTCGGGGAGAGACTAGGGTTGTATCTGGCTGAGAGAGTCCCCCAGAGTGTTCTGAGCCCCAGGTGCGTGCTACGGAGGACTCAACATTTAGTCCACAACGAGGTGCTCCTGGTGTCTAGCCCTTGGCCTTCCAGAGGCATTGACTCAGTTTCCTTTGTGCTGTAGAACGGAATCCTGGCACCAAGGAGCCAACCAAGGGTCGAGAGAGCCTCTTTCTCAGCCAGTGGCCCCAGAGCCAGAAGGACACCTGTGGGGAGGAGGGTTGCAGTGACCCAGTGGGCACCATGTCCGTGACCCTGCCCACCAAGAAGCCAGCATGGCCGGCTGAGAAGAATCTGCTCTGTGAGTTCTTTGGGGCCACGAAGAATCCAAGCGGGCAGCCGAAGCTTCGCAGCAAAGCAGAAGTGGATGGGCTGGAGCTGAAAGGTAAGCTGAACCCTACCCAGGCAGGGACGGCAGAGGACGGGGTTCCAGAAATCCTCCCGGGTCCCAGGGGTGGCTCTGGCTGTCTTATCCATGGGCAAGTCATTGCCTTTCTCTGGGTATCTATTTTTAAACCCATGAAATAGGGAAAATGACTTTCTCCCTGTATCCCTTACTGGGAATACAATTGCTAGAGAAATGCAGTTATCTTTCAGTAGTCACATGGGCGTTATTAGTGATCAATTTTGAATATAGCCCTGACCCAGCATATAGCATGTCCTCTCACATTGCCCAAGCCAAAAAAAATTCCATACTTTAGACTATTTCTACATTAAGATTATTTATATCTCTGCTTTCTCTCCCTTGCTCCCCTACAACTATTTCAGTCAAACCTCCTTTTCTAAAAAAAGATGCCAATAAGGGGGAAACTGAGGACTCATTTCTGATTCTCTAAGTCAACAGGATGTCTTAGAGATGGGGATTATCTGGAATTCGTATTCTGAAACAGCTCAACCTAACCTCATTCACTTAGACCAATGTTGAGTCACTCCACACTGAATTAATGTTTTAAAATATTAAATAATTAAGTCAACGGGATGTCTTAGAGATGGGAATTATCTGGAATTCATATTCTGAAACAGCTCAACCTAACCTCATTCACTTAGACCAATGTTGAGTCACTCCACACTGAATTAATGTTTTAAAATATTAAATAAGTATTCCCATATTGATATAACAACCTGTGCGAGGTTCTCAGTGTTGCCAAGTATATGTCCTTAGGGAGGGGCTGCTGGAATAATTTGATAAGAATGAATTCCAGTGGCATAACAATTGTTCATATAAAGTTGGGTTTTTCTAAAGCAGTTGAAAGAATTTTGTTTTTTAAGTACGTGAAATACAGCCCTAGCATTTGGGTTTATTATATTCCCTTGCTAAACTACCTCCTTTGCCGGTGAATGATGGAAAGAGAAGCTCCAAGGCAGACCATTCTGGGATTTTGATACCTTCCAAATTGGCAAGGTGTAAACTCATATTTTCCTAAGTTGAAAATTTGCCAGAATTTGAGGAACCCCCTTGGAGGTTAAAAGACCTGACCTGTGACTATGACTCCCTGGGACAATTGTGATGCTAGAGGCATTCTGGCCTCTCCCTGCCTCAATCGCTGAACCGCTTTACCTGTCCTGTGACTTGCAGTTAACCCACCTGTGACCGCTGTCGACAAGAATAACCCCAAGTACACAGGGAACGTTTTC